AATCCCATTATTGATGTATTGGCGAAAAATTGCAATGCATTCAAGTTCTACTCAAAATGTTCTACACTGTTCTATACGGCTGCGTTCAGACGACGACATAAATTTCACAGAGGTACAGTCACAAGGAATAAAATGCAGGAATTCCGTTCACACCTACGATACAGTGTCTAAGCCGCACACACTTAGAGAAGCTAAATTTGAGCATGCGTGGACGTGTTTACAGCTTTCCCGCTCTGTTCTCGCATTCAGGATTCGCGCGTTCGCTCTGATTGGTTAACGCTTTAAACCCAAGTCGGCATAAAGTTGAAAACTTTATGCTGTGTTCAGACGGGGACAGGGGCCCACCAGCGGCTGAGCGGTAAAGTCGCTGAACACTGGTAGTTCGGTCTGAAATTCGAATTCCGCGAACGGGCTTGGCTGCATGGCTGTTTTCGTGGTTTTCCCCATGTGTAACGTGTATACGAGCCAATTTCCCTCAGAAAGTCCTCCACGAAGGCATCCCTGCCCTTAGGCAGATAGCCCCAGTGTGCTTTGCCGTAATTAAATACACCAACACCAGACGGGGGGGGCATATGTGACGATGATGACATGCATTTTTTAATGAGTTTGCACAATAATTGCAAAATATGGAAGAAACTCGTAAAGCGAAACTTAAGCTCAGGATCATGAACGCTGTGTATGATCCTGTAGATGATTGATCTCATCCATTATTTTTCATTTTATTATGAAAATTCTTTAAAAAATGCATGCTCACAAAAATGTTACTTTTTGTGTAAATTATTATTATCACTTTTTTTCAGCTTATTATTTTTGTATAGATTACTACTATGCTTTTCCTCCTGTTAATTATTTTTGTATTTAAGAATAATTTATTGAAAAAAAGCTGGACATCTTGCATTGCAATTTGCTTCAAATGCTGATTTTCGTTCCAAACAAACTTCATGAATTAATTTTACTAAAATATCAAATCAACATCAAGAATGTTTTTTTTTTGGGGGGGGGGGACAGTAAAAATATTACTTTTAAAAAAAGAAAAAATTATTTTCATTTATTTAAGAATAGTCACAATAGTCAATTGAATGGTGTAAGTTTTGTATAAGTAATAAAAAAAAACTTTTGAGAAAATGCTCTTATGAAGTCCAAGAAGGGAAAAATGTAGTGAAATATCCTTAAACCAACAGTCAACATTCTCGACAGTTTTGTCTCCAGTTGATCTCTGTTTTTTAATTAGGTTCTTCATAAACGGAATTTACTTTTAATGAAACTGAATAGCACACATAATTCATAACATCGATTATAATTTAATGAATAGTATTTGTTATTAATATTATCCACTCTTTATTAATATCATTTGAATGGAATTTTTATCATTAAATTCATGCTATTTCTCTGGTATAAATTCCTAGATAAGGTATGAATGCAACAAATACAACAAAATTATATATAACTTTGGTGTATTCGAAGACTTGGGTACCTAAAATTTGTCAATGTGAAATTACTTTTGAGGTATTGGTCGTAAATAGAAATGACAGCATATATTGAAATTGAACTCTTTTTGGTGCTTTAATATGCATGTCTGCCAGTGAGTGGAGAATTGTCATAATCTGTCAGGAAATGAAAAATTATTAAAAGTAATTACTTCTGAGAATAGACGTGGATGAAACTTACACCTATGACATTTCAAAGCAGAGCAGAGTTTAATTTGAATTACTCATGTGATATAAACGTACCAGTTTGCAGAATTATCCACAAAAATTTCTGAAAGTTAGTGTTTACTTTCTACTGTATTCTGTCGAGTGTAACCCCCCTTTTTTCAGGAAATGCATATGAAATTAAGGGGTGCGGCTTATGCATGCAAATGATTAGAAATAGATGCATACAAACAGCTGGCAACACAGCAAAATGTATTCAATGATTGAGCATAAAATACATTGTTGGGTGAACGTTTCATAGTATTGTACGAGTTTAGTTGTTGCTGCTGATCATGGTGACCAGCTGTGGGATACTAGTTCTAGTAATAATTGATACTAGTAGTGCAGCCCACTACTGCAGTGATCAACAGTAACAGTGAATAAGGAGTGCTAAGCACAGAAACATGTTCCTTTGATTGAAAATTTAAATAATAATAATAATAATTAATGCATGGTAAGCACTGTTTTCTGCTTAACTGCTTTCATACCTGCAAAATGGAAAAATGTTATATAAAGGTTATCTATCTCTTATCCTCAAGATTTCTTTTTTTAATTAGGCATATTTAGACTATCGTATTTCTCCTAAGAGAAATTACATATAAAAATTGAAGAAGGTTTTATATATAAAAATTGAAAAAGTTTTTATATAAATATGCATGTGCAGAGAGTATTACAGTGCAATGCAGAAATATTCCATACTGCTTTGCACAGAAATATGTGGCAACCAAGTATTGGTCTTTCTAAAAAAATATTCTTTAGACCATTTCATTCTTTTTTCACCTTCTTCCGTTTCCTCTTGGCTAAGAAGAAGGGCAGATAAAAGAGCATTCTGTTGAACCAGTAAAACTTTGTGGTGAGCTGAAAAACCATGACACAAAATAACGAAAACAAGCAGAGCGAATGCGGAAAATCAATCGAGTGGAAAAACACCGCGCGAAAGGTGTAGACAAATCCACGCATGCGCGAATTTAGCTTCTCTCATTGGCCACAGCTTAGACACCCGTCTCGCAGGTGTGAATGGAACTCCTGTATTTTATGACCTTATGACTATGCCTCAATGCCCTTTATGCCAACGTTTGAACGCGGCCTTATCAACCAGACCAAGAACACTAAACCAGATTTCGTGAACGTAGCACAGAACGCAGCTCGGCTTAAACCACTTATGCCCTTTCGTACCGTCGTCTTCATGTATTCATGTATTGTCAACATTCATGTATTGTAATATGTGTCTTCATGTATTCATGTATTGTCAACATTCATGTATTGTAATATGTGTCAAGCCGTCCTATTTCAAGCACATATAGTGCTTGGTTCACATGCAATGTATTTCAAATTATCCCGGGCATCTGCGTTGCTCTGGAGTGTGTATATATTTCTTTTTTATATTTTTGTGAATGTTTTTATGTGTACTTTAGGTTATGTGTTTTAAGTGTTATGTGTTTCTTGAAACTTTTTTTATAATGTCTTTTAAATTTTCTATGAACCCAAGGTAAACAGAAATTTCCCACTGTCTCACGTAGTATTTGTAATGTCGAACATGTCGTCCAGCCCCTTGTATGGCCATGTATGCTTTCTCTTTTAACCCTTTTCCGCATGCTACCTTTTAAAGTTGGAGTTTTGATTTAAAAAAAAAAGTAGGCAGTCTAATTAGGCCTAGAGGAGTACACTAGTAAAATTTTGTAAAGATAGCACTTATCGTTTTAATTCTGTGGGTGTGCCCAAAGTGGCACACTGATTGAATAGAGCTTCGAAAAGAGTGCTGAAACGAGCATTGTTGTCAATGAACTGACCCATGAGATGCGGAGAAACAAAGAATACAGACTCACAGTTGTCCTCGATGATCGCTGAGCCCGGTATGGGCACACCTGGGGTTCGCCGTTTGGTTTTAGGCAAGATTTCAAGGTAAAAATTAAAAACTAATATAGAATAAGAAGACTAGCATACAGCCAAAAAAATAACATAGAAATTTCTTTTCAAACAATTCCTTTTATACACTAAAAAATCTGGAAGATTTCTTTGAAAAATGAGGGTCTTAAAAAACTAAACATGGCTAAAATATATGGACTGGTTTGCGTTGAGCTGCCATCTATTATAAATAAAGAAGGTTCAGAGTAACCTATAAATTCTTTTCCATTCAATTTTTCTGTGCGTACAGAAAGAAATTTTTAAGTGTGTCCAGACCGGACAGACTGTACCGCAAGGGGTTAAGATCTCAATAAACTTCCGAGGCGGCCTCATGGGGGTCCAGGGAGTTGTTACCTCTAGATAGTGAAGGACGTGGGGCACATGCCTGTTTACCTATGCTAGACACCAGGCGTCCCCGTCCTCCATCACCTGTCGCCTGTAGTCTGAATGCAGCTTGAAGTTCCACACTATTCCAAAGAGAGAACTATGATAGCGCCATCTAACGGTTTTAGTAAGAACTGACCTTGTTTTGATACCGGTTCTGTATTTTCTCGGAAAATTCACCATTTGCCCAATTTCTACACTGATTTCAAAATAGTCGTCAAAAACTGATACAGAGCGCACTTCAATCTTGCTTTAGAAAGTTGCACAGTCTTCTAAAGAGTAAACGGACATGACGCCGTCTAACGGTTTGAGTAAGAACTAATAGTGGAAACACAACGACGACTACGTTGACCTAAGATGGGAGATATGATTCCAAAATTAAGACTACGCAGAAATATATTTACTAGCTCGAAGGGCTTTTAGTCTCAAAACAGCATTTTGCGTCGTATCACTTTCTGCGTTGATTCACTTTTCAAACTGTTGCCACCAAAGTTCATCGCCTTATATTAAAGTAACTAAATAATGAAGAATCTTCATGAATGCATGAGTGTTTGTCGCACTGTGAGAAAACAACGGCACCTAGATCTATCCAATTTGAATAACATAGTCTTCCAACAGAACATGGGCACTCGTAAGACTGAATTCTAAATTTGGAATTTGTTTTATTATCCTTTTTAAATTTTGCAAGACTTTAACGAATATTTGATAAACTATTTCAAAGCAAATAATCAACGATTTCAAAGCGAGTAGTGACAACACTGTACAGAAAAGAAAATTTATATCTCCAGCGTGCGAGACTGTGTATAGAGCAGCGTTTCCCAAACTTTTTTGGCCAAGGCACACTTGTCGCGGGGAAAAAAATCACGAGGCACACCACCATTAGAAAATGTTAAAAAATTAACTCTGTGCCTATATTGACTATAATAAAGTAATTCTCTTGAATAGGAATCAAATAAGCACAAAGAAAGTATTTTATAATTACTTTATTATGAAATATTAAGTAAACAGAATAGTGAAAAATTATAAAATACTTTCAGTGCGGAACCTGGGCCTGTTTGGCTGAACACAAAGCTGATATTCTGGGGCTGGAATCGAAGAAAGACACACACGTAGCTCTTCGTCAACAGTTCTCAGTCTCTCTCTGTATTTGGTTTTCATAGCAATCATGCTTGAAAAGCTAATCTCACACAGATATGTAGTGGAAAAAGGGAGCAATGTCAAAATAGCTTTGTTTGCCAGAAGGGGGAACTCCTTGGCAGTATCCAACCAAAAACTGTCCAAAGGTAGATCAGCAAATCTTAGCTTGCAAGCACGATTTTGTCTCAGTTCAATTAGTTCCTCCTGCTCCTGTAAAGTCATTTCCTTTCCAACAACTGATGCTGAGCTATAAGGGTCCTTAACCCAGTCAAGGCATTCAGTGGAGACTAAAGAGAAATAAAATGACAACTTCTCCTCAAGAGTTTTTAAATGCTTAACTATTATCTCACACAGTGCAGCAGTGTGAACACCTTGCCATTGCATGGTGAGTGTGAACATTTCAAGATTGCCACTTTTCACGTGTTGATGCCAGAGTTGCACCTTTGAACGGAATCCATTTATTTTATCTGTACTTGTAAGCAGGTTTTCATTTCGGCCTTGCATTCGGGTGTTCAATTCATTCAGATGATGAAATATATCTGCCAGGTATGCCAGCCTTGCACACCACTCATCACTTGCAAGTTGCTTTGCGTAATCTGACCCCTCATTTGTCAGAAACACTTTAAGTTCCTCCCGCAGCTCATACACACGAACCAAGACCTTGCCACGCGACAACCACCGGACCTCCGTATGAAACATCAAGGTTTTATGCTTTGCTCCCATCTCCTCACACAAAGCTGCAAATATGCGACTTTTCATGGGTCGTGACTTTACAATGTTTACCATGCGCACAACATCATCCAACACATGAACTAAGGCTTGGCTACGAGGGCCTCGCGGTGTAAAAAACAATGCGTAATAATCACATGTGGATTTCTTTCCTTCACTCTGCCTACAAAGCCTTTGGTGTGCCCGACCATGGCTGCAGCTCCATCGGTGCAGACACTTGTGCAGTTTTCCCACTTAAGTCCTGCTTGTTCAAGGTATTCTGATGTGACCCGAAAAATTTCTTCTCCTGTTTTTTTTTTCTGGCAATACCTGCAAAAAAGAAAGTGTTTCTGAGTTTTCTCTCAACCATGCAAATCACACACCATCAACAAAACGCACATTAGCTAAGAGTTGAGCATGTCCACTGATATCAGTAGACTCGTCAAGTTGCAATGCAAATTTCTCACTGATACGGATCTTTTCCAAAACCACACTCGATTTCGATGTCTGCAGACATGTCATTAATACGTCTGGAAATTGTGTTGTTTGAGAGAGAGGGACTTTGGCTATTTCCTTTGCTGCTTCAGGTCCGAGCATCTCCTCTACAATAGCTTTGCAGGCAGGAAGTATTAATTTCTTCTGCCACAGTGTGTGCGACTTTTTTGTCTTGGCTATAAGTTCAGCAACTTGATAGCTAGCTTTAAGAGCTCTTTCATTTACCTTTGTTGTTTTTCTCATAAAAGTTGTTCCTGTTCTCCATGTTGTCACGCAGGCGAACAAAATAGTCCACATTCTTGTTTTGAAGCAAAGGGTGTTTCGTTTGGAGATGGCGTTTAAGTTTGCTTGGGACCATAGCACTGTTAGCTAGCTTTTCACCACACACCACGCTCAGTGGAGTTGGTTTGTGTTCATCTCCAGTGAAAGTAAATCCAACTGAAATATAGCTTTCGCTATATTGCCTTGCGCCAGAGAATTTAACCATCTTTGCTTTCTTTTGACCCCCACTCATACTCGGGCTCTCATCTGGCTCCAGATTTTGTTCAGAGTCCAGTTCTTTCCTTTTCAAAAACTTGTCCATCACTGCAGTATCAGTGTCTCTCTCCTCACAGCAGCCGTTGTCTCTCTGACACTGTGTGAGGCGTCTGCCTGCGTCTCATGGGGGCGGGGACACGGCGGACACTTGTCAAGATTGGCAGGGGGAGGAGTTATAGCACTGCACAGCGCCGTGACCACTATGACACTGGCGGGGGGAGTGACGGGAGGAGTTATAGCGGGCGAACAGCACCGTGACACCCAGACCCGGCGGCACACCACGGTGCTTCAGACGGCACACTGGTGCGCCGCGGAACAGCGGTTGGGAAGCGCTGGTATAGAGAATACTAAAAATGGGCTGTTTTGCTGTTTTTAAATATTTTATGATATTGCTGTTGAACTGAATTTAATGCGGTTTAAAGTTCGAATTTAATAATTCAAGTATTTATATTAAATTTATATTTCATTAGATGAATCTACCTTAGATTAATAAATTTAGATGAAATAGAGTAATGAAACATCGCAAAATAAATCTTATGCAGACTTCAGATTCTTGAAAGGGCAGATTTAGTCTCTTTTCATTCTAAAAGTAACGCTGATGAACTATGAAAAAGATGCTAAAACGACCACGTCTAAAAGCGGTCATATCATGACGTTTCAGCGAAGTCGGCAAATTGCCAAGATGCAACGGCAATTATTTTGCGTCTTCGCAACGTTGTAAAGACGTCGTATAAGTTACCACGATCACTTTGCAACCTCTCGCACCAGTTTGCTACGTCGTTACGACGTTGCCGTGCTACTTGGGCATGATACTTAATAAATAAAGGTAATACAAAACGGTAAAAAAACGCCCTTTTGGGCGTAATATAAATTCTGAAAGTTTTCAGAATTTTTATCCCAAAGGGCGTTGCCACAGAAGGGCTATTAATTTTGTTTTGGCAATATGCATTGATTCCGTTTCTGCGTTGCTTCACTTTTCAAACTGTAGCCACGAAATATTATCGCCGTGTATTATATTTAAAGAAATTAAATAATGAAGAATCTGTATCATTGTGTGTATGTTTCTTGCAATGTGATAAAACAACGGTACCTAGAGCTATCCAATTTTGAATAACGGAATCCTCCTGCGAATAGGGGCATCTGGAAGCCCAAATATGAAATTTGGAATTTGTTTTATTATCTATTTCATATTTTGTAAAACTTTAACGAATTTTTGATTAACAAACTCAGCGATTTGAAGCGAATATGGGTATCTGGAAGCCCGAACTTGGAATCTGTTTTATTATTGATTTCAAATTTATCTTGGCGCATTTTTTCAATTTGGGCCAAGAATAATTGACTCGGTAAACTCCTTAATTTATAGCAACATATTTTCCTTTCCCTTTTTACATTGTGCACGACCTGAAAAAAGTGACTTCGTTCCTACTTTCAAATGTGCGACGTTCCAAATTTGATATTATCGCTTTCAACAAATATGCCAAATTTCAAAACGTGCCAATATGTAAATTCATGAGTATCTTAGAAAATATGGAATTAAATAACCTAATCATTTGAAAGTGTGCCTTACATCAACGTTAACATGTTAATAATTTTATAAGTTATAATAAAAAAAAAATTAATTTGGATTAAGGCTAAAATTCGAATCCTGGAAGAAGGAATAAAGGAAGTTTAATAAAAAAAAGAGGCATTAATATTAATAAATATATATCCAATTTAATTATTATTGAGAAGCTAAAATTTTGAGAGTTAATTTTTTAAAAACGCCTCTTGCGATTTTTATACAACTTGGCAGTTTGGCGTTATTTGAGTCGTAGAATTGAAATATGGAAAAAACCTTGGCAAGTTATTTGAGAGAAAATTCAATTTTATATTAGAACAATGCTATATATAAATCTACTGCATATCCAAGTCGGACTTTTGAGACATGGAAAACTCAAGTTGAGTTTCGTCAATCGCGCCAGTAAATATAGGAACTAAATATATATAGGAACTGTCCCAATGTTGAACAATGTACGTACGGTTTTTACAGCAAATACTAATTACTGACACATATGGAGCAATTGTAACTGCTAATATTCCTCGTTTCTATTACCATAGATAACATACAATCTTAATTAAGTCAAACTGATTGAGATACTTCAGACTGAAGTAAATTATTATGTGTTGTTGGACTGTGACTTATCTCACTTGTTTGACAATAACATCACAACAAGCCCACGAAATCTATCGCGGCAAGGACAGCTAGATTGCGCCTGTCATTGGTCAGAGCCTTGAACACCTATATAGGTGACAGTACGACTTCGTTCAGTTCCGCGACCCCCGACCCCCCCCCAATGATGACTGAGATCACCCCGAGGGTGGACGCCTCTGAAGGTCTCCCACACCATCATCACCTACCACTAACCTTTAAAGAGGACTTTCGGCTTTCGGAGAAAATGAGAGCTGTGCAATGATAATGACACGCGTTACAACTGCATACTTAGAGTGCCCCCATGCCGCACGGACATTATACATTTACAAACATCCATGCCTTCTCCGGAGTTCGAACTCAGAGAAGATATTTCGGTATCTCACTAGGCTTTCCTAACCACTGTACGGACTGAGGAGGCGCAAATTATTATTATCCAGATAACTCGCGACACACACCCAAAAAATAAAAAAAAAAAAAAAATTTAAATCAGAAATGATGAGAGTAAGCGCTACTTATACCAAGCATTTTACATATTTACGCCTACACGTATTCACATAATTCCCGCGCTTCTTTTAAAACTTATCAGAAATTTGGATGTCAACCTTGAGCAGAAATGTACTGTACGGTAAAACAAAGAACATACAATATGAATGAAAATTTCTTGGAAACTTTCACCATCTCCGACGGAAAGAAACAGACAATGAATAATGCATAGCTTCATTTCATGCATACCAAGAAGTTTACTTTTTTTGCCATCATAAAAAAAAAAAAAAAAATTTGGGCAAAAAAACAAAGTAACATTTACTTCGGAATTTTTTATGCAATACAAAGTAAAAAAAGGCATTAAAGACACTAAAAATAGGCAGAAAAAAATCATAACTAAGCGAAGCTGTCTTGTGCAGTGAAGCTTCATTTAAAAGAAACTGTAAAATTTTCATTGTTAATTTAAAATAAGAACATCATGTTTATTTTTCGTCGCCTGATTTGCTCATAACTACGGGAAAAACAGCTGCAGCAGACGACTTGACCCGCCTAATATTCCACCCCCGACTTCATTTCCGTTTAGAGTGTTTCGCTTCAAAGGACCAAATAAGGCTGACTGAAACTGCAGTCTCAAATGAAGTGAAGAAAATGAGAGCTGTGCAATGATGATGATACGCATTACAATTACAAAAGGTGGGGGTTGGCAACGGCCTTGAATCGTCTATTTTAAAGTAACAAATGTAGCCAGTTACAGTTTTAATGAAACTATTCCATGATCTCACATTCTAAAAGGATGAGCCCCGCCCAAATTTGTATTCCAAAATGGATTCAAATATAATAGATCCCATTCCGGGACACTTCAAAAATAGCAATAACAGTTAAAACGTAGTTGCCAATAATCTATATTTAATGCGGAGAAAAAAATTTATGACATAGAAATGTTCGGCAGCCCAAAGCGAATTTTTAGACAAAATTTAGCAGAATTTCGTTTTAAATTACGTCCAAAGTGGCGTTTTTTTAACGTTTTGTCTGCTACATTTATTTATTAAATATAGTGTTCTACGTACTCAAACTATAAAAGCTGTATACACAAATTATCATGTTATTTCAGAAAAAGTCTAATTTTGTATCAAAATACCTATGATAGAATGATGCTATATAAAAATAAGTCGCGCTTTCCAGACATAAAAAACACAATTTAAATTTCGTTCATGGGCCCAGTTGAACGAGAGATATAGAACTGTCCCTCCCCCCTTCTTTTTGGGCAATGTTCATTATTTTAATACAGAAAATATGAAAACTGTTGTGAACCATGATGGAAATAAACATTACTGTGATTTAGATAGGACACACATGTGTAGCTAACGGAATT